GGGTAGGGGATGTTGAGGGGGTGTATGGGGTATTGGAGGCCGCAGTGGTGCTGTTGGTGGTGTTATTAGGGACTCTGGACACTTCTTTCTTTTCTTTTCGTTTTTCTTTTCTTTTCCTTCTTTTTTGTGGGGTGCCAACAACCCCCGACCGGTAGTTGCCGACCAGCCAATGCTGACCAGCGGACCGGTCGGCTGGTCGGCAGCTGACCAGTCAAGGGCCGCCAACAGTCGGGGTATGCAACACTGCTTCGGTCTCTAAAGGTACTACTCAAGTGTTTTCCAACCTTTTTTCTTTTCTTTTCTTTTTCTTTTTTTTTCTTTTTTTTTCTTTTTTTTTGTAACAACAACAGGCCCAGTGCCCAAGGCTTAAATGTTTTCCAACCTACGCGAGCCTACTTCTAATTCCCCCCTGCACCTTAACAACAGCACGGTCACAGGTAAGTACCAGGCCCTTGGGCCGTCCCAGTGCACAAGTACCCTGGCGGGGCAGTCAGAAACACAGGGAAACTCAGCAATCATGCGCACAGTGCCACATACACGTATTTGCTACTCAACAATGTGGTGTTCAGACGTAAGAGTCGGAGAGAAACAAAAAGGGAAAAAATATATAGCCTCCTGATGAGTCGGTGAAACTCCGACGAAACAGTTTGTCACAGCCCCTCGTTTGTTGTCCTCTTCTCCCTTCTCCCTCTCTGCCTACGGTTTACCGGGCAGTTCTATTTGACGATATATATATAAAAATCTCAGCAGAATAAGGGAATCTCAGGAAGTCACTCAGTCCAGCGGCAAAACTTAGAAATCAGCAGAGTTCTCAGTCTGTGATTTTTTTTTGGGAGGTCATCAGAGCACATTGTACATCTTTTGTAAATTCTTTGTGTCACAACGTCAGAGAGAGAGAGAGAGAGAGAGAGAGAGAGAGCACATGAAGCCTTACCCTTGGGCGAATAGTCGGTGGTTCCAGGTCGAATACAAGGACGGCTCTTAACGAAAACCATGGCCCGAACTGAGGGTGCAGGCAGAGATGAGAAACCTGATCCAGGAAAGCCACACCTGCATCATCCACCAAACAAGTCATCATTGCTCCGCATAGTTCGCTTGACGACGCTTTTATGGGGGTCTGGTCTGAGGGTCATATTTCCAACGGCTATGAAGAATCCGCTGCCTCAGAGACATACGCTCGCTAGCTCTCGGCATGCATTCTTTTCTTTTTTCTTTTTCCCTCTTCTGTTGTGGACATAGCATATTGGAGCATCGGGCCAAGACTCAAGTTCAGCCCATTGGGCAATGGAGATTTTTCAGCATCTGTCAAAGATTTATAATGATTCAGACATCATTGCAAAAAAAAAACTTTAAGAAAGTGAGATTCGAACTAAAATTGTCGTTCTCAAAGTGTCGATCTCAAAAATTCCATCTCCAAAGTTTGATGAATCGATCTCAACATTGCAATCATTTGAAGGCTTGCACTGTAATGTTTTGCAACATTGTTTGGAAAATACATGAGGGAAGTGGAATATGAGAAATTGTGCAAAGAGAGAGAAAACGCAGCCTTAGGAGGGTTGTGGACTGAAGTAAAGATGAGATAGATATATTAGTTTTAAGTTGAAAGTCGAAACGATTGTTTTTTGTTTTTTTTTTAAATGAATTTCTTTTTCGCTCAAGGAAAAAAAAAAAGGTGAGTTTTTCGATACCATGCTGTAATCAGCTGTAAAAGAGGAGGAGGAGGAGGAGATGGAAGAAAAGGAGGACGCAGTAATGAAACAGTATGGCACATAACACTACAGTGCTGACAAGACCAGATTATAGATGTACAAGGCTATAAGCACATTTGCGATGTGATGTTTTGGAGCGGCGGACAATATCCAAAAAGCAAAAATATAAGACATTTGCGAGGGCATTTTAACTTTTGCGATCGTAGCGACAATCGAATTGATGCGACAGAGAGAAAGCAAACAACGACTGCATCGGATTAACAAATTGTTTGTAGACCATGGATTGGGTTACACTGGAGTCAGGTAAAGTCGCAAGCCATCAACCAGTTACACACACACACACACACACACACACACACACACACACACACACACACATACACACACACACAGTCACACAAAGACACACACACACACGCAAAGACACACACACACACACACACATCCACGGCTGAGTGGGTGTGTAGAGTGGATTTTATGGCTGTGTCAGGGTAGTTACTCAGACTTAACAGCCATTCGAGTCAGGGGTTTGAACCGACAGTCGGCTAGGATTGCCGGGTTGGTGTGAGTGAAGGAAACAACTGTTCTGTCTCAAAAGGGTAAGGCTAACTCCGGGTGACGTGGTGAGTCCTTCCTCATCCAACAGTCAAATGCATCGTGGGCAAACTGTCTGTCCAGGTTCAAACCTCCTGATGAGCCATTGAAAGTCCAACAAAACACTCCTGCTCTTTTCTTTCTGTGCAGCTGCGTATAGCGAACATGACAACACATACACACTAAACAGTCTTGCACATTCCTGCGTTTTTTGTGGAGTTGCGTATAGCGAACATGAAAACACGCCCCTCTTTGGGGGAGGGAGGAGCGGAGGGAGGGAGGAGGGAGGAGGGAGGAGGGAGGAGAAATGGGAGGAAGGAGGAGGGAGGAAAAATGGGAGGAGGGTGGGGTGGAGGGTGCAGACACTGTGGAGGTGGGGTTACCAGCTATATGAGCCATTCTTTGGATGGCGATCAACCTGCCAGGCCTGGTGTCATGACCCCAGAATATTTCACATTTTCCAGACCGTTTTTCAGATCGTTGAATCGCCAACTCCTCAGTCAAACGATCACGTCCACAGACACAAAGGCCCATCGTCCCTGATACGGTCAACCTGTCAGGCCAGGTGCAACTTCGCATATATGTATCAGCTGCATCGATGGCTTCCACGATAGACTCTTCCACGTACTCGTTCAACGGGTGCGCACAATCGTCCTTCAAATTGAACATTCCGGCGCATGTGCGTGTATGTGTGTACAGATCCACATTTGAGAGAGAGAGAGAGAGAGAGAGAGAGAGAGAGAGAGAGAGAGAGAGAGAGAGAGAGTCAGAGAGACAGACGCGCAGAGAGAGAGAGAGAGAGAGAGAGAGAGAGAGAGAGAGAGAGAGAGAGGAGGGGGGCGAAGTGAGGATAGGAGAAAGGGTTGAACGGGGCGAATGGGGGAAGGGACAGGACATCCGAAACAGAGGAAGAGAATGTTAGTCCACGACGAAACCCTCCTGAAGCGACCTACATAATGAAAGAGCTTGCATATGGCTCGGATTGATCTACACCCGTTTTTTTTTTTTTTTTTTTTTCCCTCCCTTACATTTCCTCAAAATTCCCTCTCAAAGTTTTTAACCTCCAATTCAGGAAAAGACTTCAACAAGCTTTTTTATTTTTTTCCCCTCCATTACTTTTCCTCAAATTTGCTCGTTAAACAAAGAAAAAGTTTTAAGGCTTTAAGCTCCATTCATTCAACAGGAAATGGGTGAGAGAGAGGTGGGGGTGACGCAGAGACAGTGATGTGTACGCTTCAGGAAAATAAATTAACATAATCCTAACACATTTTCCTGATTTTTTTTAACACATTTTCCTGAATTGGAAACCAGTTTAGGAAAACAACTTCAACCCCCTATGTCAAACCGTAAGGAATTTTCCGCAAAGAAATTGAAAAAAAAATGAAAAGAAAGGAAAGAACTCGCGGACAGTGCTTTTTTGGGTTCAGTAACCTGAGACAATAATCAGAATTGGAAGACTGGGAAAAAAAAAAAAAAAAAAAAACAGAATTGGAAGACGGTACAGATTTTGAATTCACAACCCATCATAAATGCGAACACCGCAACACAACACCCCCCACCTCCTTGGGCCAAAAAAAGAAAAGGCAAATAAGAACATCAAATATTCATCTTAAAATATGTAACCCTAAACAAACGTACATCAACAACAAATCAAAAGAAAAAAGAAAAGAGAAAAAAAAACAGACCCAAAAAATTGAAAAAAAAAAAAAAAAAGGTCCAAACAGAGGCGAGAAGGAACTACCAAAGGAATGGCTGAATTATTAGACATAGGGCCGGGCAGTTCCATGATGATATCTCAATGTCATCCCCCTTTTAAAAAATAATAAATAAACTGGGCTACCTGCCAGGCCAGGTGACCTTGTTTAAATGGGTAGCCCAGTCGTGCAAGAACCAGGTACGGGCCGAGCAAAAAACAAAACAAAAAAAAAAATCTGAAAACTCTGAAAAAACAAACTATGTGATGTACAAAAATAAACTGAACCAGGGCCACCAGCCCGTACGTACGGAGGTCCCCGGGCCGACCTCTGTACGTACGGGTGTTTGGGGTCCCGTTTGGGTTCCAAACCTGAAGGCGCTCGGCCCCCACCAAAAATTATTTTGGGGCCTAAAAATAAGTTCTTTTTCTAATTTTTTTTTGTGTGAGTTCTCTATGATGTGAGGTACATGCTCATAAATTTTGAAGTCATTTTGGGATGATGTGCTAAGCCAAAAAAAAAAATGAAAAATTGCCAAAGATGGCGGTGTCATGTCAAAACGTGCCCGCCCACTCACTATTTTGTGATTTTCACTTTTTACTTTTTGTTTTCACTCTATTCCGGGGCCTGAACAATTTTATTATTTTTTGAAACTTTTTAATGAGTTTTGTATGTGAAGTACACATCTGTATTTTTTTATTTTTGTTTTCCCCCGCGGACAAATTGCCCCGGGGGCAATGTCCCACATGCACCGAAGAAGTAGTTCTCCGTAGAACTGCAAAGGCCATGCGGCTGAACATAAATCAAGATGCAGGACGCTCCTGTGCATCTGTCTGTGGATTTTATTTCTTGTTTGTTAAATTATATTTAAATACTTTTCCTATCTAGGCTACCAGAGTGGCCGGAGACCACTTGCCCGGCTGGGCAAAAAACGAATTAATTGTTATTTTAAATTTGGTCAGAATTTTTTTTTTTTTTTTTTAAAGAAAGCCATTCATCGATTGGTTGCCGGAAAACGGGTCCGGCGTCCCTTACAGAAATTTCGATGTGACCCTGAGGCAAAAGTTGTTCAGTTTATTTTTCTGCATAACATAGTTTGTTTTCGTTTTTTTTTTTGTTTTTTTTTTTTTTGCTGGGACCTTCCACGGTCCTTGCACGGCCAGGCCGTCCGGGAAAATAGGGTGACCCGGGCGGCCCGGCTGGTAGCCTAATTTCCTATTGGAAAGAATGACAGGAAAAAGCCACCCTCAAATATAACGCCCCCTAGGCTACCCCTTTTTCGCAGAACTAGCTACCCCACTGTGAGTGGGGTAGCTAGTTCTACGGACCTCACGTCATCATTACCTCCTCGTTCGTTCGTTGACACTCAGTCTGGCAGATGTGGGAGGGCAGTCTGATAGAAGTGGAAGGACGTTCCAACGGACGTGGTGAGGCTGAGGCTGCTCCTGTCCTTCATGTGGGCTGAGGATCTAGTTAGTTCCTAAGGCGAGCCGCTAGACTGACTCCTAGTCGTATTGGATAGCATATTAAGATGGAAAGCGTAGACGTATGCATACTTGCAAAAAAAACATGCGTTCTACCACTTGAACTACGCCCCCGACGGAACGGAGGAAATGGGATTTGAACCCATGATAGAATCTTGTGCATGCACATAGGGCAGGACACTAAGCGCGGTATACTGTCCACGTTCATTTCAGGCACAACATGGAGAGTTCCCCGTACAAAGGAGAGATTTGTTTTGGTTTACTGTCCACATTCATTTCACGCACTACAAGGAGAGTTCCCTGGGGCCGTGACCCACTAGCGGGGGTTTAGTTTATGTTTTGTGTATTGTCCAACGTGGTCACACTAGAGTAGGGCCGTGAGATTTTCAGATCGGATGGCAAGGAGCCATGTATGTACACTCGAAACCAGAACAAAACCCCTCGAGAAGTGCGACATGGCCCCCATACTAAGGAGAGTTTCACTTTTTTTTTGAGATAGTAAGGAGAGTTTCACTCGTGTAGATTTTGTTTCTCCATTTCATTTTTTCGAAAAAATGGACAAAAGTAGATTGGCCCGTTTTTTCCTCCATTTCAGTTTTTTGAAAATATGGAAAAACTTTAAAAAAGCTCTGGGCAGCATTTGTTTCTCTTTTTTTTTCCTCACTAAAATCGTGTCACACCGTAGAGCCACCTCCACTCGAGGGTGAATGTGGGACATGGCCCCGGATCATGTATGTACACTCGAAACCAGAACAAAGCGACATTTTTTTTTTTTTTTTTTTTTTTAGAGATAGTAAGGAGAGTTTCACTCGTGTAGATTTTGTTTCTCGGACTTTCTTCATTTCGTTTTTTCGAAAAAATGGACAAAAGTAGATTGGCCCGTTTTTTCCTCCATTTCAGTTCTTTGAAAATATGGAAAAACTTCAAAAAAGCTCTGGGCAGCATTTGTTTCTCTTTTTTTTTTTCTCACTAAAATCGTGTCACACCGTAGAGCTACCTCCACTCGAGGGTGAATGTGGGATATGGCCCCGGATCACTCTGGTAGCCTAGCCAACCAACTTAAAAGTTAAAAACAAATTATTCAAACAAATAAAAGACAAACACGTCAAATTATAACCAAAAAAATAAAAAACTGCGTCATAGGGAGACATATACATTCACTTGCCCGGCCGGGCAAAAAAAAAAAGTAAAAAATACTAAAAATTGAAAAACATATTCTTAAAAATTTTAGGTTCATTTTTTATTTTTTATTCGGTAAAGTATTTCGATGTGACCCTGAGGCAAAAGTTGTTCGCTTTATGTTTCTGCATAGCATTTTTCTTTTCTAATATTTCGATTTTAATATTTTTTCTTTCTTTGCTGGGATCTACTTTGGCCCTTGCACGGCAGGGCCGCCCGGGCAAACAAGGTCATCCGGGCGGCCAGCTGGTAGCCTAGTATATTACACATTATTATTATACATACATATTATATAATCATGACGATATATATTGTTAGGAGTCTTAGGACGATATAAATTATTATGATACTGTATGTCGTCAAAGAGAATGCCAGTTGCATGGAGAGAAGGCGAACTGAAGTATCACGGAGCACTCTTTTTAATTTTTTTTCCATTTCTCGTTTTTCACACTTTTGTTTTTTCGGATCATTGGGTGTCTTCGGAATCTGTCTGCAGGTGTCACGCCTTTTCACGTCCAAAAAAAATAATAATATAATAATAATCAGTATTAATCACAAAAATGCACAAAAACGCCTAGAAAATTCACAAAGTCGTGATTCCACTCTTAAAAAAAAAAAAAAAAAAAAGATTACACAAAGTCCCAAGAGAGTAGCAGCCATCTCTCTACTGAGAAAGCGAGGGAGTTCACCACCCGAGTGACATATCAACTTTTTACGTAGGCTACCAGCAGGGCCGCCCGGGTCACCCTATTTTCCCGGACCGCCCTGCCGTGCAAGGACCAGGGAAGGTCCTAGCAAAAAACAACAAAAAAGAAATCCTATGCTACCAGCCGGGTCACCCTATTTTCTCGGGCGGCCCCGCCGTGCAAGGACCAGGGAAGGTCCCAGCCAAAAAAAACAAAAACAAAAAAAATCCAAAAAACAACTTTTGCCAGGTGACATGGAAATTCTTTACCAAATTTAAAATAAAAATTAAATTCAAAATTAATTTTTATTTTTTTATTTCTTTTTGGCCCGGGCAAGTGGACCCGGGCCACTCTCAAAATTCTTTACCAAATTTTAAATAAAAATTAAATTCAAAAATAATTTTTATTTTTTATTTTATTATTTTATTTCTTTTTGGTCCGGCCGGGCAAGTGGACCCGGGCCACTCTGGTAGCCTAGAAAAAATCCGAAAAAAAAACTACGTTATGCAGAAAAATAAACTGAACAACTTTTGCCTCAGGGTCACATCGAAATTCTTTACCAAATTTAAAATCAAAAACAAAGTTTTAAAATAAACTAAACAACTTTTGTCTCAGGGTCACATAAACAACTTTCTTTTTTTTTTTCTTTTTCTTTTGGCCCCGCCGGGCACGTGACCCCGGGCTACTGTGGTAGACTAGCTTTTTACTATTTGTTAAATTGTTATTACTATACTAATAAATATGGTTAAATTAATGCCAGAGAAGACCGCAACGCTACTGGGTCCTTAAGAGGTCGGTAAAAGCTACCGGACAGCACACCAAGCCGCGTCAGAATAACTCGGAAAATGAATAATTATTAATTACCCACTTCAGATTCGGTCAACTACGTCCAGTCAGATCTGGTCAACGAAGTCCAATCAGATTTCGTCAATGACGTGCAGTCAATTTCGGTCAACGATTCCCAGTCAGATTCGGTGGATAAATTGGATAATGAATAATTTTCATTATCCACGTCAGATTCGGTCAACCATGTCCAGTCAGATTCGGGGTCAACCATGTCCAGCCAGATTCGGGGTCAACCATGTCCAGTCAGATTCGGGGTCAACGGTGGCAGCATGCTCAACATGTAGGACGCATCTGGACGCACATCGAGCTTCAATTCAGCCAACGAATAAATCAAATTTAAACAGGTAATAACACCCCTCCGTGCACGCACGGTATCGAACCCCCACCCTTGGCCACAACAACCAAGTCTCTTAACCACAGCAGCAAGGAGGAGTTTTAACCGCCCCCCTTGTCCACCAAAATGACATAGGTCAGGCAGCCTTCGACTAAATAAAATTTAACCAGAATATCGTCGGTTTACCGGGCAGCTCTGTGTTGACGATATATCATGATAGCGTCAAACAGAACTGCCCAGTAAACCGTAGGCAGAGAGGGAGGGAGAAGAGGACAACGAACGAGGGAGGGGCTGTGACAAAACTGTTTCGTTGGAGCTTCACCAAACTATATCCTGATGAGTCAGTTGGTGAAACTCCGACGATACAGTTTGTCCCAGCCCCTCGTTTCTTGTCCTCTTCTCTCCCTCCCTCTTTGCCTACGGTTTACCGGGCAGCTCTGTTTGACGATATATATTGTCACATTGTGAATCAGAGCGCAAAAAAGGGGAAAGAAAAAGGAAAAGGAAAAAAGGGGGAGGGGGAAGAGGTAAGGAAAGCTCCACCTGTTCATAACCTCTTACGTACAAGGCCAGCCACGTGGATGACAGGTTGAGCGCTGGCTGCCCCCATCCCCGTGTGTCACARGGACCCACTTGCACGCAGCCAAAAGGCAAAGAGGTAAAGAAGGGGAGGAGGAAACCAAACCTGACAGGGAAAGAAAGATAGGGAAAGAAAGATAATCCAATTATTACAAAGCAAATAACACATCCCACAGATCAACGTATCTTTTTTCTTTTTTTCTTTTTTTCTCTTTTTTCTTTTTTTCTTTTTTTCTCTTTTTCTTTTCGTCTTTTTTTCTTTACCTGCCCCCACCTCGGCAGATAGGACAGCTACGGTGAGGATGATATGGATGTTCACAAGGATGCCCAAGGAAAGCTGCGCCAGCACAGCATTCTGCAGGACGGCTAGCACGAACCATCCCATCAAAACAGTCCTGACAGAGGACGTGTTGTCCACATGTCAAAAACACGGCAGGACGTTCATCACAGTGCGGCATCATACAGTTCTGATAGCGTCCTTGGGCACAATAGGGACAACGTATATCTGGGTGATAGGGATGTGTACAATGAGGAAATGCTGGACACCCTTCAGGACAGACGGCGGCAGTCGCAATGGCATCATACAGTTCTGATAGCGTCCTTGGGCACAATAGGGACAACGTATATCTGGGTGATAGGGATGTGTACAATGAGGAAATGTTGGACACCCTTCAGGACAGACGGCGGCAGTCGCAATAGATTGATAATGGCTATGGCATAGATGATGCATTCCACAGCCAAGGCGCACCGCGTCTCTGTCCCGACAGACGTCACACGAGAGTCGGTCAATAATCCAGAATAAAGTATGATTCGACAACGCTCGCAAAAATTCATTCACGTCGAAAATGACCTGACTCATCGTCCCACCATCCCACAGTTCCCACTGGGCAGCTGCACGAATGAGTGCCATATAATGCC